CAGTAATGTCACATGTGTATGAAGGTGGATCAAACAGCTAATCTTAAATGTCAAAGTAGAGAGGAGCCTAGTAGGCCTATTTATTTTCATTCATTACAATATGAATAAGCTATGCAGACAGTTGTAAAGAAAGAACATCTTTTTCTTCTGTTCTCTACTTGTTATAGTTACACAGTATTAGGGGTGTGGGCTGTATTAAAAGTATCCACTGTTCTCCATGCTCTAACACACAGTAACGATGAAATGTGTGCTGTTCTCACATTCTTCCTCTGTATGTACACATAAACAACAAGGCAGGGAAATATAAAAGGAATTTATTTTATTGTTTGGGTACATTATTGTTCAGTGTACATGCTCACATCTGAAACAAACTTTACGTGCTTGATAACTCTCCCACCCCGCAGACATCTACACGTCAATACCGATTTATATTCATAGCGGCAAGTGCTATGTAGCTCCACATAGGGGACACAGGAAGTGACATATAACACCTTCATGCGGCGTCATAACCGCGTAGCAAATTCACAGCCGCACCGGCAGAGCTCCAGAATATGCAACTCGGCCGGCTCACACGCGGACGCGCTTATAAGTGCGAGGGCCCGCCCAACGCTGCTTGCAGCTTTAATTTTTTTTTTTTTTTTTTTTTTTTTTTCTGCAAAGTAGGCCCAAATGACATGGCCTAAACATACTCGAAAACTCACCAAAATTTGCAAACATGTCAGAACCGGTGAAAAATTTCGTATTCTACAAGTTTCGCACATGGGCGTGGCAAAATGACTCGCTAGCGCCACCTAGAAAATTGGAAATGATTAGCCCCTCGTTCACGTTCAACCTACATGTACGAAATTTTCTGGGGACATGTATCGTATCAAGACGCACAAAAAAGCCTCAAGAACCCATAGCCTAAAGTCAACAGGAAGTCGGCCATTTTGAATTTTATGGCCATTTTTGGATGATTTACATACTTCGTACTTTAACGAACTCCTCCTAGGGATTTAGTCGGATCGACCTCAAATTTCTGCTGTGCCTTCTAAAGGCATTGACGATGAAAAGTTGTGCTATTTGCGCGTTTTCGTCAATGGGCGTGTCCGTGGCGTCGATGATTCGCAATGAAACAGGAAGTTGTTGTAACTTCAGTGTACATGCTCACATCCGGACCAAACTGTACATGTAGGATGAGAGTCCCGCCCTGAACACATGTACATGCCGACATTCACCCACAGTCATAGCGCCACCTGCTGGCAACAGAAAGTGACCTTTAACGAAGCAGCCCCCGCCGCACGTTTCACCTACGTGCACGAATTTTCTGTGGTACGTGTATCTTGTCCAGACGCACAAAAAAGTCTCTTGGAGCCATAGCCTAAACCCAACAGGAAGTCGGCCATTTTGAATTTTACGTCAAATTTTGGATGATTTACACACTTCGTACTTTAACGAACTCCTCCTAGGGATTTAGTCCGACCGACCTCAAATTTGTGCTGTGCCTTCTAAAGGCATTGAAGATGAAAAGTTGTGCTATTTGCAAGTTTTCGTCAATGGGCGTGTCCGTGGCGTGGCGTCAAAGATCAGCTCTTCGCCATGACACGGAAGTTGTCGTAACTTCAGTGTACATGCTCACATCTGGACCAAACTGTACATGTAGGATGAGAGTCCCGCCCTGAACACATGTACATGCTGACATTCACCCACAGTCATAGCGCCACCTGCTGGCAACAGGAAGTGAATTTTAACGAAGCAGCCCCCGCCGCACGTTTTACCTACGTGCACGAATTTTCTGTGGTACGTGTATCTTGTCCAGACGCACAAAAAAGTCTCTTGGAGCCATAGCCTAAACCCAACAGGAAGTCGGCCATTTTGAATTTTACGTCAATTTTGGATGATTTACACACTTCGTACTTTAACGAACTCCTCCTAGGGATTTAGTCCGACCGACCTCAAATTTGTGCTGTGCCTTCTAAAGGCATTGAAGATGAAAAGTTGTGCTATTTGCAAGTTTTCGTCAATGGGCGTGTCCGTGGCGTGGCGTCAAGATCAGCTCTTCGCCATGACACGGAAGTTGTCGTAACTTCAGTGTACATGCTCACATCTGAACCAAACTTTACGTGCTTGATAACTCTCCCACCCCGTTATGGAGGACCGATCCTGACACAGTCAGAAATAAATACAGAAATAAATAAATGCTCAATAAATAAATAAGCATCCAATTAAATACACAAAAAATAAAGTAAATAAATAAATGTAGGTAGTAATTAAATTATACAAGGAGACATAAATGTATATATTTTAATTAGTGCCTTTACTATTCACCTTTGTTATAATTACCTTATTTGTTTATTCAACTTTATTTATTACAAATTTTTTAATGTATTTATTTATGTGTGTGTTTTAATATTTTTGTCTGTTTTATTCTTCCTTTGTATTTATTTACCTTATTTATTTTCACCCATGGTATTTATTTCTGCCTGTCTTTTTTAAATTTTTGTATGCATTTCTGCCTCATTATGCAAATGAGGAGGGGCTGTGTCTCAAGGGGTCATCTTCTCTGCTATTGGTGGACCAGTCAGACAGGAGAGCTCCTACTCTGCCTGCAGACATCAACGATCTTGCCCCTCACACAGTCAGATGGCTTCCTTCAGTGCGCTGAGGTGTTTAACAACTCTGAAGACAATACTACCAGCAATGTCTTCCTTCTCTTTTCACGTAGACGCTCCGACAGACGGTGCTTTCAGTTTGCTGCATGCATGGACACAGAACTGCGGTACAGCACACAGTAACGATGAAATGTGTGCTGTTCTCACATTCTTCCTCTGTATGTACACATAAACAACAAGGCAGGGAAATATAAAAGGAATTTATTTTATTGTTTGGGTACATTATTGTTCAGTGTACATGCTCACATCTGAAACAAACTTTACGTGCTTGATAACTCTCCCACCCCGCAGACATCTACACGCCAACACCGATTTATATTCATAGCGGCAAGTGCTATGTAGCTCCACATAGGGGACACAGGAAGTGACATATAACACCTTCATGCGGCGTCATAACCGCGTAGCAAATTCACAGCCGCACCGGCAGAGCTCCAGAATATGCAACTCGGCCGGCTCACACGCGGACGCGCTTATAAGTGCGAGGGCCCGCCCAACGCTGCTTGCAGCTTTAATTGTACTTTGTGTTTAGTGGAACTATCCACCTTCCTTGCTTATTAGCTGTACATTGTGTTTAGGGAAACCATTTGCATACCTTTGTTTGTTAGCATGGGTGCAGTGGAGAAATTCCCTTAGTGTTTTTGTTTACTATTGTGTTAGTTTTCACCAGGTGGAGTGGGTGCTGTGCTCTTTGTGTTCTTTTGTAGCAAGAATCAACTCTGCTTAAATAGATGGGTACAAGCCTCCTTTTGAGGACCTTTTTTTATTTTAACTTGGTTTGTTATTTTCACAGCACCCTCGTCCACCCTCCTTTTGTTTATTGTTACCTGTCTACATCTCTTCTGTTACCAATAAGTTACCTTGTTAAGATCTACCAGTTGTGCCTATATGTTTATGGCCCCCACTCCCCTAGACCAACAAGGGGTCGTAACAATGTTTTTTCTACCAGAGCAGTAAAAGTTTAGCTGGCTGATGCTTCCATGCTGTAAGCTAACGTTACCATTTTATTGACAATTAGTGATCAGCTGATTGTCTCGCTAACGTAACTGCAAAAGCCAAACCACAGCGCTGGAGAACAACGAGGCTACATGAATTTAATCCAACTAACATTACATATTTTACACCACTGACAGGAGAAATACGTCAGGTCTGTCTGTGATTATGGACAGCTTCTAGCTAAAGCTATCAAACAACAGATTTCATTTGCATCGCTAAAGTGCAACTAACTTAATTACCTGTCCAAGGAAAACAGACAAATTCAGCTCCGCTTTGAAAACATCTGTCCCACATCAAAGCCTTCCATCTGGGAAAATCCACACCGATTTATATCTGATTGTTTGCCGTCAGCTGTCTGCATCTGTCCGACTCCTCTGGCTTCATGGTATAAAAATCCACAGGCTGTCGGCTCTCGTGCTAAATAACATGTGTGCTCGTTCATTTATCCAAATGTCACTTCTCTTCTTACTTCTAATAAACCAGAAGACTACTCAGAGACTGCATTATTATTTTTCTCTTCCTCTTCTACAGACGCATTATGTAAGGTCTTTATACACCACTGAAAACATAGTTATGGATATTATATTGCATTTCTGTCAATAAATCCTCAGCTATATTACACACTGAACCTTTAAGAAGGCCAAATTCCCACGCCAAGTTCTTGTCAGCTTTTACAGAGGAGCAATAGAAAGCATCCTGACTGGAAACATCACTAACTGGCATGGGATGTGCACGACCCAGGACCAGCGGGTGACTGAAACTGCTCAGAAGGTCACGGAGCCCAAAGGATACTAAAGGACAGTACCCACCCAGCCACAGCCTGTTCACCCTGCTGCCTTCTGGGAAGAGAGACAGAAGTTTCAGCTGCCGCACCACCAGACAGCTTTCCCCCTCAAGCTATAAGACTCTTAAACTCTAATTCATCCTCAGCACTGCTCCACTGAATACAGTTTATTTCTGTTTACCATTTTTATAATTGCGTCTGTGTTAATGTATATTGTCTGCTACATAGCAGAAGGGAGTTACAAAACTCAATTTCACTCTATAATCGGTTACAAACCTACCTACGTACCTAATCGCTGGCTTCCATCAACAACAATTCACGCATGCGTGCTATAAATAGGGCGGGAATAAGTAGGCACAGCTGGACCTCTTTGTAAATACTTTGCAGTGGATGGCAGTAATGCACCATATGGCTGCCAACCGCCATAATACTCCACAGAAGAAGAAGACGAGCGGGAAGGGTGGAGCGGGGCCAATTTGTCTACGCAGGCCCTTCTTTTCCAGTGTTGGCTTCATGGTTGGCCCTCGTTGTATACGCCCACGTATACAGTGTATAACGCATGCGCAGTAGGTGTCGAGTAATTCGGCGCTGAAAAGGAAGAAGTAGCAGTGATAACCTCAGCTGCAGTAGCAAGGGGAACTACAGCACTATAAACTACAACAGCGTCTACCTAGTTGCTTTGCTTTCGAGCATCGTGACACAGCACAGAGTTTGGAACATGGCCGATAAAGAGGGTAGGTTTACTATAACTACCTAGCGTATAAAGCCGGGTCCCGTTTTCCTCGTGTGCGGCTCCACAGCCGTTCAACTGTGCCATGGGCGCTAGCATGACATGCTAGTTTATTATAGTAACGTTACCATCAGGAGGCTAATTTGTTTCAGCCAGCATGTCTGACATGGTGTTCTTTTAAAAACTGAGCAAAGTGTCAGATAACCAAATTCAATAGCACGTATGTCAACTTAAGAAATAGTTTTGTTGATGGTACGCTTCCACAGTCCTCCATCATCAAAATAACGTTAACTTTACACCGTAGTGCGTGGTAGCGAGCAGTAACTTACACCAGTCCTGAATTCAGGGAAGAGGGTTAACCATACCGAATATCTTACCATTGTTTAAGTTCTTTGTCAGTCTTCTGCCACAGAGTATCGTTCATGTAATTTGAAGGAAGCTAGCATTTAACTGTTTTAACGTAAACGCACGTTGAGCTCTCGTCTGTTAAGGTTGCTTCAGCTGTCCAGTGTCCAGCAGTACCAGACTTGTTACACTTACTACGTAACAGTAATTGTGTGTGCTTAATCTACTTTAGTAAATACACAAATGTACTGAGGGAAACTCACAGCAGTTTCCATTTTTTTTTACCGGTGTACCTGTAACATACACCATGTTGTTCTGCTGAAGTGTATGATGACGCAGTGGAAGAAAGGGTCATCAATGAGGAGTACAAGATTTGGAAGAAAAACACACCTTTCCTGTACGACCTGGTGATGACCCATGCACTGGAGTGGCCCAGCCTTACTGTCCAGTGGCTTCCAGATGTCAGCAGGTATTTACATTATCTCCATCTTACTGCTGAAACAATGGTTTAACCCCAGCAACTTTGTCAACAAGTGTTTCTATCTTTACATCCTGGGTCTCTGTATGCTGGAGTGTTCCTGCGACATCTGTTTCTCTTGGTCCTGTCTTATTTTGTGCAACAAAATTGTGCTTCAAAGCCAACATCTGGTCAGGAGTGGGACATGAGATGAAATAAGATTTTACAAGTTTTTAATGTTAAAAAAAAAACATTAAACATGTGTCATTGTTTGTATTGTGGTGGACAGCAACAAATAAATCAATGTATGGGAAGCACTGGGCTCAGGGTCCAAAATTAGCACCAGCCAAATGCTGGTAAAATATGCAATTGGCTAGTAGATTTACTTCCTCACCAGTCAACAAACAATGGTAATCTATTGAGTGGCTGGTAAAATTTGAGCAGTCACTAGCCATTGGCTGGTGGACAAAAGTCAATTTTGCACCCTGACTGGACTTTAATAAAACTGTAGAACATTCAAAAGCACATCCCTGTGTATGTATGACTGGTTACCAAATACTTATATTACCAAATACTAATTCACTAAGAGATTCGTTGAAGCATTTTTATTAATACCTTGGAATTCTTCCTGTGTAAAAGCCTATTCATAGTTTTCAGTCACGTGACATGCACTGTGACCTGGAGGGCAAAATAAGAGACCAACATAGCAGCTCACACCGCGACTCACCCGTAGAGATGCTGTAAAAGCTGTTACATTTTATTTGGATCACCACTCAGCTTAAGAAAAAGAAGGATATGAACACAAATTGCAAGTGTTGGGCACTTCCGATCCATGTTGCGGCATCCGCTGCCGCATTTGTTCCATTAAAAACCGCCAGGTACCTGCCACCGCTCGACTGCAGTGATGTTTGCGTTTACCTTGTATGGAATGCTGCACCTAACACAGCCCAGGCTTGTCTCTTCCTCGATTAGTGCATCCAAAAGCACAACAACCATCCAGCATTTTTGCAACACTAAAGTAACAAACTCAAAGTAACAGTGTATCACATGCCTCCTGGTTGGCGGGCAGCGGAAAATAACTTATTTTTTGCCTTCTAAGAGAGTTTTCCTTGGAATGTGATGTCACGTGAAAACTATGAATTGTGTTACTATTTTTCTTTAACTATCAGCAGTCATTGACTTTGAAGAATCACATTTGCCTCTTTCATACCAAAAGCCCTGGTCTAATTTTAAACTTAAAGACAAAGCTACTTTTGCTACTGAATATAGATATAGATCATGTCCATGTTGTCAATTTTGCAGGCCTGAGGGGAAGGACTACACCATTCACAGACTGGTTTTGGGGACTCATACATCAGATGAGCAGAATCACCTTGTGATTGCCAGTGTTCAGGTACCAAATGATGATGCCCAGTTTGACGCGTCGCACGACAGTGAGAAAGGAGGTAAATACACAAAGAGTACTGCAGTAAAATATTTTGGACATACTTGGGAATTTGTGCTTGTTACCACTATAAAGAATGTCTTTGCATGGTCAGGGGAGTAGGTGTATTTGTTGTCGATGTAATGTCATTTCTAGAATGCTTTTGTTTTTTTACTTGATTCTTACCAAAATACATAGTGTGGATCTGGAAGGCCTAACATGTGTTTCCCTTTAGGAGGTTTTGTACCTCACCATATAATTTTGTCAGTATTAAGTTAAACAAAATAAGTTATAAATCCTTTCAATCTTTATGCTGAAACTGTTATTCTATCTTCCAGCAGGTATGTGTATGGGTGCCCAGCTGTGTGTAGGTGTGCTGCAAGCTCACTGATCTCTTGGTGTGTTACTAGAGGTAGTATAAGTATGGCCACTGAAAATTTTTAAGGTACAGTCGAAGTCTAAACCTCAATACTCACAAAACCAATCTAGTGCACATATCAGAATAAAGGGGTAAAGTAATAGTTAACTCCATATTGATTTGATCTTAAAACATTTGAGCACAGCTGCTGTAAACCCTCAGTAGCTGATAAATACAACAGTTCCCAGGCAAAGTGATTGTGTGAGAATATATAAATCAATATTGGTCTGGTGTCATTTCCTACCTTGAATGTACTACAGTCTGGTTGTATTCTCTTCTCAGAGTTCGGTGGATTTGGCTCAGTAAGTGGAAAGATAGAGATTGAGATCAAGATCAACCACGAGGGAGAGGTAAACCGAGCCCGCTTCATGCCCCAGAATCACTGCATCATTGCCACTAAGACTCCCACCTCCGACGTTTTGGTCTTCGACTACAATAAGCACCCGTCTAAGCCAGGTTGGATCACTGCTTTGCTTATATACTTAAGACTACAGGTGTTATAATGGGCACACAGTTAATCACACACCATGAAGGTGAACGTGTAGTGCAGCGTGCGTTTGTGTGTTTCAGATCCCAGTGGGGAGTGTAGTCCTGACTTGAGGCTGAAAGGCCACCAGAAAGAAGGGTATGGCCTTTCCTGGAATCCCAACCTCAGCGGCAACCTACTCAGTGCCTCAGATGACCATGTAAGTGACTAGAACTATAAGCTAACAGTCTTCATGTACAGGTTATCCAATGCAGACAGGAGATCAGTCAGAAAGAAGGGTCCAAAAGGTTGGTTCCGACTGAAAGCAGAGTGAATTTTAAAGATGGTGGGATTATTGTCAGGGTTTACTTAGAAAGACGCTAGTAGATGTTATGAACACTGTTCCCTGTAGACTGTGCAAACCTGATGCTTACTCCAAAGCTGTGGGGCTACACACTGGAGCAGGACAGGTATAATGGCAGAAGACATCGCCTACACAATATACACACAGTTACAGACAGTAAAGGTGATGTTGCTATAGACTAAATGAAAAATGGTACAGATATTTATAGTAGTGTTAATGATAACAATCGTAATGTTAATGATTATAATAACATTAATAACAATAGGGCTAGTAACAATAGTTGTTGTAGCAGAGGGTGTCGAGCAGGAACACGGGGGCAGCAGGTGACCCGCAGCCACAGATCCAGACTCCACAGCTCCAGAGCCAGAAAACCTGCAGGAAGTGATAGGAGGAGAGAGGAGAGGGACGAGAAAGCACAAGACTACCAGAAAGGGGAGAAGTTGTGTTAGTAACATGCAATAATGGGAGGTGAGAGGTGAAAAAAGGCGGTCCTTGAAATTTGCGTAATGTGAGACTTAAACAACATGTCCTGATCAAAGATAACTCCAAGATTCATCACAGTGGTGCTGGAGGCCAGGGCGATGCCATCAAGGGAAACTATATCTTTAGATAATGCGTCACGGAGGTGCTTAGGCCCCAGAACAATAACTTCAGTTTTATCTACGTTTAACATTAGAAAATTACAAGTCATCCAGGTTTTAACATCCTGAAGGCACATTTGAAGTTTAGCTAACTGATGAGTTTCATCTGGTTTGATCGATAGATATAACTGAGTATCATCTGCATAACAATGAAAGCTTATGGAATATTTCCTGATAATATTGCCTAAAGGAAGCATATATAAAGTGAAGAGGATTGATCCGAGGACAGATCCTTGAGGAACTCCATGACTAACTTTGGCGTGCATGGAGGACTCATCGTTAACATGTACAAACTCAAATCGATCTGATAAATAGGACTTAAACCAGCTTAGAGCGGTTCCTTTAATGCCAATTAGATGTTCCAGTCTCTGTAATAGGATCTGATGGTCAATGGTATCAAATGCAGCACTAAGATCTAATAACCAGTACAGAGACAAGTCCTTTGTCTGATGCAATTAGGAGGTCGTTTGTAATTTTCACCAGTGCTGTCTCTGTGCTATGATGAGCTCTAAATCCTGACTGAAAATCCTCAAATAAACTATTGCTCTGTAGAAAGTCACACAGCTGTTTAGCAACTTCTTTCTCCAGGATCTTAGAGAGAAATGGAAGGTTAGGTATAGGTCTATAGTTGGCTAAAACATCTGGATCAAGTTTGGGCTTTTTCAGAAGAGGTTTAATTACAGCTACTTTAAAGTACTGTGGTACATAGCCTGTTGATAGAGATAGATTGATCACATCTAGTAGAGAAGTGCTGACTAAGGGTAAAACTTCTTTAAGCAACCTAGTCAGGATGGGGTCTAACTGTGCTTTCAGACCAAATGTGAATTTTTGCCTTGCGACGCTTTCCTCGCGTGAGTACATTCGCTGCAAATGTTCACACACAACGCGAGAAGGCGATTTTAACGTGAATAAAGACAACAACCCAAAGTAAACATTTTGTTGTGATTATATGGCAATAAACGGATCAAACTGATGCCAAAATAACTACAATATGGTGCAGATTTGTCTGTCAGCAGGACAGCAACTTCTAAAATGTTTGTTTTCTGAATGGAGTTCGGATCGATCAGGGCTATGCTATGCTAACATGGTCACAGTAAAGTACAATGATAGCTGGAATAAAGTTACATACACGTTTTCTGAACTCTCCAGGTAGTTCAACCTCGACACCAACAACACTGGAACCGGATGTGCACGGAATCTAGCTGCTGAGAAGCTCGAGTGAAGATAAATCAACGTCGTAATCCTAAAAACTAAAGTAAAAAGCTAATTTAATGAAAGCAGTTTATTTTCCAGGTTGGTGGAACGCCAGTTCCTCTCAAGTTTCCGCGATATTTGCTTTAATTTGCGAGTTTCAGTATTATACCATGGAGCTAACCGTCTTTGTTTTATTATTGTGTTTTTTAGAGGGGCTACAGAGTCGAGTGTCATTCGCAGCGAGCCTGCAGCACTATCAACAAGATGATCGATTTGGGAGGGACTGAAATTAGCATAGGAGTCCTCCGTTACTTTGTGACTTGATAATGAATTTAGAGCTGATGGAATCGCATCCTTAAATTTAGCTACAGCACTATCAGACAGACATCTTGTATAGAAATTTTTGCCCAATGGCGAGTAGTTCAGCAATACAAACTCAAAAGTTATCAAACAGTGGTCGGACAAAGAGGGATTCTGTGGAAACACTATTAAATGTTCAATTTCAATACCATATACCAAAACAAGGTCGAGGGTGTGGTTAAAACAGTGAGTCGGTTCATGAACACTCTGAGAGAAGCCAATGGAATCTAACAGAGAGATAAACGCAGTACTGAAGCTGTCATTCTCAACGTCCGCATGAATATTAAAATCCCCTACAATAATAACTGTCTGTTTTAAGGACTAAAGTTGACAAAAACTCTGCAAATTCAGATAAGAATTCAGAGTACGGGCCAGGTGCTCGGTACACTATAACGAAGAGAATTGGTTGCAGTGATTTCCAACTTGGGTGCGAAAGACCAAGAACAAGGCTTTCAAATGAGTTATAGTTTAGTTTAGGTTTAGAGCTGATTAGTAGGCTAGAGTCGAAGATAGCTGCAACTCCACCTCCTCGGCCTGTGCCTCGAGGAATGTGAGTATTAATATGACTGGGAGGGGTGGATTCATTTAGGCTAGCATATTCTCCATCACCCAGCCAGGTTTCAGTAAGACAAAATAAATCAATATCATAATCTGATATTAGTTCATTTACTAGTACACCTTTAGAAGAGAGAGATCTGATGTTTAAGAGTCCACATTTAACTCTCCTATTCGTTTGCACTATTGCTCTTGTGGTTTTAATCTTTATGAGGTTTTTATGTACAGCTCCTCTTCTGTTTACCTTTGATTTAAATAATTTCGATGGTCGGGGGGCAGACACCGTCACTATAGGATTTTCACTAAGTAACTCCTGAAATGGAGGAGCAGAGAAGTGTGTTAGACTGCGACTCTGCCTCCTGGTCTCAACTCTGGGTTGTCATTGATTTGGACCTCTAATAATTTGATTTGCTGCTTCAGTAGGCCACACTGACTACAGCTACAGCAACCCCAAAGGGTCAAAACTCAAACCCAAAAACCCAGCCTACAAATATGGCTAACACTAGGTGGAGAAAGGGCAGCACAATGTTGTGTCAGTGGACATTTATCTATATGTGATGTACATATTAGGCTTAGGTAGTACAAAGCAATTTGTATTTTCAGCAAAAACTAAAGTATATTTGCATTTTTATGTGCCTTTTTATAGAGAAATGTTTATTATATAAATGTTTCATAGTTGCTCTACGTACTGTAATTTTAATTTACAGAAAGAAAACAGAACAATTCTGCAGCACACGTTTTTCAAAAAGTTTGGATTTGCAGGCACAGGCATTTTTTATTCATAGACCAGCAATATATCAATTATTGCAGATTCCCACCCCTAGTGATTACTATGTGTAAAAGTCAGTTTAACTGATAATGTTGAGGAGGGTAAATAATGACTAGTGATGAGGCTAAGATTAAATTTCTTTTGTATTTTACTGAAAAACGCATATTAGTGCTTTGCATGTATTAATCCATTTGCATGCACTTTGTATTATATTTTAGTCAGCAGAATAGCTCCATGCCTGGTTGATACTATTATTCACACGTTCTATCATTTAAAAAATATATATTTTACGGGTCACGGTGGACATAATTTCACTATTTTATATGCTATTAGGCAGTGCAATCTATAACAACCAATCCTATTGTGTATATAATAATATATATAAATATATAATAACTTAAATAAATGTAGGGAAGTAGATGTATTAACTGTTAGAAAACAAAGTACTCAGGTAAAGTTCAAGTACCTCAATTTGTACGTACAGTACTGAAGTGAATGTACTTGGTTACTTGCCTCGACTGTGGGTTGTATACGCAGACACTTAAAGATTGCCCACACAGCATTAATTGATAAATCAAAGCAATAAGCAGTTTGTAAGTGTCACAGCAGAATTCAAAATCTAAAATGTAAAGTGGACATGTTGTGGAATGGAAGAGTAAAACCTCATGTGTATGGTCCTGTAAACATGAGCTCACACTTCAGTGGCTCAGAAGAGGAAGGAAAACTTTTGTTCCCATTTTTTAATTTGATTCAGCATTTCCTCATTTATAATGTACAGATGGACTGTAGTCTTGTCCAGGTTCAAAGTTGTAAACATCAAACTTCTGAAGTAACAAACATGCTGGAGACTCGGATGAAACTTCAGGGTGTACCTGGTGTACAGCAGTGATTCCCAAACAGAAGAACTTGTACCTCTGCAGTTGCCTGGGGGTACATGGAAAGATTGTGGAGTAGCTCCTGTAGTGGGAAAGGTCCATATGAAGGAGTGGCTCGTGCTGTGGGTGTACATTAGACAAAAAAGGAACCAATGGTTAACGGTTTCATCTTCTGCTGACTTCATTGCTGCAGCCTCAAACCATTGAGGATGTTGTTTGAAAGTAGTGATGACAAATTGTTAGTATGCTCAGTGATGCAGCGCTTTCCCAGCTCATAACTGATCATTATAGCAAGTGGATAAAAACATTTATTGTGCTCTCCCCTTTTTTTTCTCTCCAGACCATTTGTCTATGGGACATCGGAGCCGGCCCAAAGGAAGGAAAGATTGTGGATGCTAAGACCATCTTCACCGGCCACACAGCAGTGGTGGAAGATGTTTCCTGGCATTTGCTCCACGAATCTCTGTTTGGCTCAGTGGCTGACGACCAGAAACTCATGATGTAAGTAGGTGACACAAATGGCGACTCTGTTGTCTGAACAGATTCATCAAGTTAAAATGGCTCCATTTAATTTATTTGTAACCAAATAAATGATGTCCCTGCTGCCTCTGACCCTGCTTAATCCTCCACCAGATGGGACACTCGGTCCAACAACACATCCAAAGCCAGCCACTCAGTAGACGCTCACACTGCTGAAGTTAACTGTCTGAGCTTCAACCCCTACAGCGAGTTCATTCTTGCCACTGGTTCTGCTGATAAGGTAGAGAAGAGGCAAAACATATCTTTAACTCTAACATTTAATATATTGGAGTAAAAACTGCAAAGCTTGTTTGTTTCTCTCAGACTGTTGCACTGTGGGATCTAAGGAACCTCAAACTGAAGCTCCACTCCTTTGAGTCCCACAAAGATGAAATTTTCCAGGTAAGAACTTTAAAAAAAAATCCTGTTAATACTTTCCCGCCGTGTGTGTTGATCCGTGTAATCAGAATCGGAAGCACAGGGAGATGGCGCTAACAGCCTTCATATATAATTAATATTTTCATGGACCGGCCTTTAAGTTGCAGCGGATAAATGCAACAAAATAAACTGATTTGACCGGCATAAAAACCAATGTAAATCCAATGTGTACTCGCAACTTAGCAGCGTCCTCGTAACATCGCGCAAACAACATAACATGAGTAACATCCTCATGTTACATGAGATAACTGTTGTTGTGATTTGGCGCTATATAAATCAAATTTTATTGAATCCTCTCTGCCCCAACGCTGTCTGGTCGCTATGGTAATGTTTAAACATGCCTTCAAAATAAGATACACCACAAAAAGAAATATAAAGAAGAATACAACTCACCATAATGCTGAATGAGTGGGAGCCCTGAGCCTGTTTCTCTGTATCGTGATAGTCCCATCTAGTGCTAATGAGAGACAATGACACCCGTGTTGCTTATGTCCAGTCTACTCCGTAATTTTGTTTTGGTTGCCGTCACTGCAGAAAACCCTGCTTCACACATATAGGATGTCAGAAATGGCAACAGTGTTTTCAGGGCTGCTGTGGCGATCTCAGGGTATTCTGCCATGACTTTAATCCAGAACACCGGCAGAGTTGTTGTCTCGAACATACTTTTAAGGCCACCGTCATTTGCGATCTCAAGCAGTTGATCATCTTTTTGTACAGACATGCTGGCATAACCTGGTTTGTTGACAAATGGGTCGCAAATCCATTCCTTGGTAGTTTGTGGGTCTTTCAAAAGCGAAGACAGGTGATCATGCACCAGCTGGGAGAATGAAGGCTCTGGGTCTGTCTCTTCCAAAATCCCTGCTAATGTTGGAAAGGTTCTCAGTCATCCAGGTCATAGTTATTCAATGAAGGCCGAGGTCAAGGGCAACTGGACTTGGTTGAAGATATTAGAAGACGTTTTGTCAAATATACCTCTGTGCACGTGCCGTCCCCACAAATCCAGTTTGGTTTTAAATGCAGCTACTTTATCTGCCAATTTGAAGACAGTTCGAGTTTTGCAACCCATTCCTCTTCACTGAAATGTGCTGCCAGCGGTGATTTTTTTTATTTATTTTTCTGCGATAAATCTCTGCAACGGCTCTTGTAATTCAAAGCGTCTGGTCAGCGATCTCCCTCGGGATAACCATCTTATATCTGTATATAAGAGAAGGCGTCTGTGCTGCGTGTCCATCTCCTCACAAAGCTGCTCGAACAGGCGCGAGTTAAGGGCGTGTGCTTTGATGTGGTTAATAACTTTGACGACATCATTCAATACACTGTTAAGTTCCGGTGGCATTTTTTGGCTAGCCAGCATTTCTCTGTGACTGACACAATGTGTAGACTCATATTCAGGTGCAACCTCTTCAATCTGAGCAGTTAAACCAGACAGCCACCCAGTCACGGCAGCAGCTCTATCTGTGCATATGCCGACACAAAAGGACCATTTCAATTTTCCTGATCTGTAATCATCCAGTGACTTGAATAGTTCTGTGGTTTTGGTTGGCAACAATAGTGCACATAACAGAAGTAATGTGGAAAAGTAATATTATTACAGAACTGTCCATGATGAAGCAGGCTGCTTTTTATTGTGTCAGGGCTCGCCACATGTCCAAACGAGTGGATTTTTTGCAGGGCATGTGGAAGAGAAATTTACTAGCAGACAAGTCATAAACAAAAAAATACAGCATGTCTAAACATTGTGTGCCACTCATTCCTCTATTTAGTTAAATTCAAACATTCAGACCACCAATTTGAAAATATTTTTTCCCCACAATACGTCCCACTCAGAATGCCTTGATCGATCTATCTATCTTAAGCTCTGAACATACGAACTACAAAATGACTCAAATAAAAAATACAATAGCCATATGTCATTTCCAGTACTGGTCTGTTCTGTGAAAAACAAAAGGTCACTTAGGGGCTTATCTGAACATTGGTATCACCTTTTGTTAAATACAAGGTGAAAACGTGACATAAAGCCACTTTAATAAAAGTCAGAAATTGAATAATTGATATAGTGACACTGTTTGGATGCTTTCTACTGTTCATCTGAGTTCTGCATTTGCAAATTGTTTTAATATAGCTAAAGCCGTCTTCTGAGGTGCCACCAAGCCTAAGAAGTTTTTTATTTACAAAAAGTTCATGCTGCTATACTACTGTCACTACATTGACCTGCCAGTGACCAACTTTTACATTCATTAGGTACAATGGTCTCCTCACAATGAGACGATCCTGGCCTCCAGCGGCACCGACCGACGTCTCAATGTCTGGGATCTCAGGTAAGAAGTGTCCACCGTGATGCTCATTTTTATCAGCAGAGTTCAAAGGCGTTTTGATAGTTTCATCTGCAATAGAAATTCCTGCCTACATTGGTATTTTTGATTATGGCGTCATTTCTCTTCATATCCCTAAAATCTGTACAACCTGAGCTAAAAGGTAATGTAAGCCAATAAATCATAATAATTGATATACAAATACAAAAATCAGACCTGTTTTTCAATCTAATTTTACTAAAACACAACATGTTGATCCAAAAGATTTGTAATGGTGCTTTCAGACCACATGCGAATTTAGTCCTCGCAACGCTTTCCTTGCGTGAGGACATTCGCTGCAAGTGTTCACACACAACGCAAGAAGGCGATTACAACCTGCAAATATTCGCTCGAGTTGGAAATCTTCAACTCACACGAAGGCCTTCGCGCCGCCTGACAGGAAATCGCAGCTCTACGCGTCTTTGCATATTCTTTGTATGTAAACTCACCGCCTCGAACGCTCGCTTCGCTTTTGTCTGAAAACACAGTCAATGTAGAAACATGAACAAAATATTTCGTAACACTCCACGAGTTATTTGAACTCTGTGCAAAGGCGTTTCATTGTACAACCGCTATAATGTTCACTTGGGGTAGTCGTCATGGCAGTTACTGTCAACCATGACACGTAGGGGTGCTGTGCTCGGGTGTAGAGCCCAACCAATAAATTGGGTTGCTAATATGAGCTAATAGCAGATAAATTTGGAACAGCCTATAAATGACTTTAAAGAACGGAGAGAGTGAAGATCATGTTATGTTGTTGTGTTTGTCCACCAGAGCACTCTGCTACTCCCCTGTTGGCTACACCACAAAACACAGCAATCAGTTGTATTTGTTTTTCAAAGTACTACTTATAAAAGTTTAAGAAAAAGTTGATTGTTAAACTGCAGTATGTCATGTTATCTTGGTGAGGTCTCATAACTACTTAAAATTGAATATTCCAATATATCAGCCAATATTCTTTTTTCCCCTTCTTTTCAGAAACACACAACATATTTAAAGATTGTCACAAACACATAACGAATGTTAGGAATAGACAGAATAATCCTCTAATATCAAAATTGGTATCAGTCTTAAAAATCCCGTCGTGATGACCTCCTGGGGTGAGATGTTGTGTAACAACGTGATTACACGAGTAACAGAAGCCACAGCTTTCTGCTGCTAAAAGAATGATTGCTCCAGCTAAATCCATGTATGGTTCGTTCTTTGGTTATTTCGTTTCAAAACCAAATCAGAAAAAAACAAATTCTAAGCAGCTGAATTTGTTCTAAACAAACTTTCTAAATTCTACCATCTCACAAAGAAAATAAAGCTCAGGTCGAAACAGTGTAGAGAGGCTGAACGGAAATTACCAGAACATTTTAATCCGTGTACACGGATTCAGCTATTTCACATTTTCCTTTAGATCAATTTAAACAGAATCATGCAAACATTGATCTCTGTTCAGTTGTCAGTTTGAAATATTAGTTATTTTTATAGCGGGAACAACACACTTGACATACAGTACAATGATGAGTAATTACTTCAAATAAACAGTTTTTTGTTGGACTTTGTTTTTGTAGTAAAATTGGGGAGGAGCAGTCGGCAGAGGACGCTGAGGATGGCCCGCCAGAGCTGCTGGTAAGTGAGCTCCTAAAACCAAGAGTACTCTTGAATCTTTGAATAAAATAAGTCATCATGGGATCCTTCGTTATGTCAGTAGCCATAATGGTGTTTCCCACAGGATTTTAAGAGACTATGGTGAGTGAGGCTATCTATGAAGAACTTTGTACGCTTGTAAACAATGTTGTGCTCTAATAAACTATTTAATCATAGACACATTGTAGAGCTATAAATGGTGATGAAACGGCAACAGAAGTCAACAAATGTATTTAATGTTTTTCCAAATCAAAGAATAGAAGATAAAATAAGTAATTTCCCTGACATGTTATTGTTTTTGGGTTTTTTAAAAAACTTTTATTGGACACATAATATGTTTTATACTTTCTGTGAATATAATCCAATTAATCTGATTTCCGTACTGTATAGGCACCTTAATTTGAAACCCGGGTGATGTGTGTATCCTCCTCGTGCTAAATTCATTCCAGTCATAAATCCATTCAAGTCCAACCCAGTTTGATAAATAATGTTGTATGTTCTTGTACGGCGTAACATGAAGACCTCACAGCCTCTCTTCAGGTAGGACTCTCACACTGCAGCACGTGTCTTTGTAAAGAGAGTAACTGACAGGATAAAGCCGCTAACCTGCCTGTCAGCTCGCACTGGGGCCGTTACAGTGGATTTACCATAAAGGCTTAAATACGTGTGCACTCCAAATTTAGGTGCAGCTAGCTTAATCGCTTTCTGACAAGCGAGTGACCGAAACAGACCATTAACGTTACCATGGTTACCTCAAAAGAAAAGTGGTTGTCTCGAGTCGGATGCCAAAGTGTGTGAGTGTGCGAGCTTACAGCAGCGCCTACAAAACACAACGTTAGAGGTCTGAAATGTTACGAGACTACGACGGGCTGCCATGGTCTCGTTAATTATTGGGAAACCCTGCATAAAACCTTCCTACACTTGAACACAGAAAGCACTTCATGTAAGATGAATGGAGAGCTGTTGAGCCCGTGTTGATCAGGTTTGTCTGGCTGCACCTGTCAGTTACAATGACGGTTTTTTATCTTCACTTAATAAAACTAATGGTAAATGACACAACTGAATAAAAATAGAACGTGAAACAGCGTCTCAGTGTTACTACAGTTTTAAAGCACTGACCTTTCACTTCTGTAGGGTTTGATGGTTCCAAAAATCCTGACTCTTCTATTTTCCACCTTTTTCTTCATTAGTTCATCCACGGTGGCCACACAGCCAAGATCTCTGACTTCTCCTGGAACCCCAATGAACCCTGGGTCATCTGCTCCGTGTCCGAGGACAACATCATGCAAGTCTGGCAGATGGTGAATACAGCCGTGCCCACACAGTTTTTCTTTACAGGGATTGTCAGATTATGCTAGTTCCAGTCCCTCCCAATCACCAGAATATCAGACCTTTAAGGCCCCATCCACACTACTCCGTTTTATTTTTCAAACGGAGAATTAAAATGAATACCATCTCCCTCCACAGCAGCGTTTTAGCTGTTTTGGAGTTGATCTACATTAAAGCGACTGAAAGCGCACCGCCAGTGCCCGTTCAGGTACACTGGGCATGCGTGTGCCGGTGTAAACATGAAGCAAATGAATTCCTAGTTAGAGAAGATTTGGCGAAAGATTAAATAAATATAGACAAAGAATCAGACCAGGTTTTTTTTTTTTGCACGCACCAATAACGAGCTGGGACTGTTACTGAATGTAACACGGGATTGTGGCGGCAGAAAACAGAGTGGAAGTCGTCACAAAGTAAATGGCGACATGCACAGTACAAGTGTAGGCTGTAAGTGTTAAGTGCACGGTACAGAATATTTTAATAAAAACACCATGTCAAAAACCGGTCAGGAGCATCACTATCATGTTTCTGCTTTGCTTGACTTAGAAGACCCAATCAGAGAGCCGAGCGTCATCGTTTCTAAAGTCCTCTGTTTTAGGTCTTCGTTTTCATCGTTGTATTCTGGACGGGAGGTGCAAACGTAGCAAAAGGACTCCGTTGTAATTTGAAAACGCAGTAGTGTGGACGGGGCCTAAATCTATCTTCTGAGTCTTGACTCTCTGAGGGATGTTACAGTTGGCGAGCTCCCTACTGGTTAAATTAGCAGATGTTGATTTGTGGGGAAATTATAGCTTCCTTGCTGCTCCAGCCGAACCGGAAACCGGACTGACTTACTGAGTACAACTGACCGCAAAAAAAGAACAGCCCGTTACTCAAAAACAAGAGTAATACAGTGTCAGCGGGTGAAGCGGTAAGACAGAAGACAACAGGGAAAATATAAGCAGCGTTTGGCTTTGGAACTAAATCGGTTACTTTTTATTGAAACACGTTCAACTTTTCATAAAGCTGATGCAGTGTCACTTTTGTGAACAGATCAGCCTGAATGGAGCGGGACATTAAAAAAAGTTTGATGTGCTACAGCAAACTTTCCAAATGCTGAACGTATTGTTCTGCATAAATTGTTCTGAATATTGACGAGTTAGTAGCCTACTTAAAATTAAAGTTACAAACCAACCATCATGTAAAGCATTTTCTTGCACAAAGTTAATGAATTTAAAACCCCAAAACGAAACCGCTGTTACTGGAATTAATATTATAATAGAACAGTACATGGCTTACCACTATTATATGAAATATAATGAATATAGCAACATCATATAAATATATTAATATCAAACTAACAGTGTTTGGCACTTCACATTAGCTTTTTAGCCCCGTAGGTTGCTGCATTGATGGGATTTGATTGTAATGCAGGTGCCGTCAATTTTGAGCCATTTTGGGATTTATAGATAAGTTACAAATCGGCTTGTGGAAATGTGCACCATATTGAACTTCAAGTCAGGGTGTACAGTAATGCTTGCACATTGTGTCCTCTTGCTCCCTGTTCCTCACCCAGGCGGAGAATATCTACAATGATGAGGAGCCAGACAACACCCCTGCATCAGAGCTGGAGGCTCAGGGATCATAACCCAGCTGGGCCGAGTTTCTCTCCAGGCACATCCCCTCCTCCACTCCCTGAGCTCCAGACCGGCCTGTCCTTTCTCTCTCCAGCTTATCGAGTGCAAAATGAAAAGTCTGCTCTCCACACGAATGAACAATGTGGAGCGTTGGAGACGGCATGGTCTCCACCCCTGCTAACAGACTGTTGGATTCATTCTCATCCAGCTTACACTTCACTGTGGACCAGGTACCCAAAAGCACTTAAGCACTTGGAAAAGGATAAGAGTTGACATTTTCTACCTGCTCGGGAGGTAACATCTCCAGTGTTTGGGGAATGGGATTTTGTGAAGTGGCTTTGATGACTCTTAAGAGCAGGAGACCTTTTATGTGCACAAAGTCAGTGTAAGTTATTGTTGACACCAGTTCCTTTCTAAGGGCTCATGCAAGGAAAACATGAAAATGTTTTACATTTTTACTTTTGGTTAGCCAGAAAACCTCTAGATAGGTTTGTCTTAAGGAAACCTGGACAATAAGATTATCTGAGCACTGAAATGCTTTTGGGAAACCTGATCCTCATCCGTCCAAACTGTGATTGGTTAAAGCTAACCATGACGGTCATGTCCAGGGAAGCGTTCTTTCATACCTTATTTTCCCACCTGTGGCTATAGTTACAAAATATATCATCCTTCATGGCTGTGCTTTGAAGAAACATTCCCTGCTGTTTGCCTCCTGTTCATAAGGTACAGAAACTCTTCAGTATTTGGCTTGAGTGAAAGGTGTGGGACTAAAGAAGTGCACTTGAGGGAAACACCTCTTTCTTTTTCCTCTCCTCTTTGTGTTTTTACAATGTGAAATGGTCATGTTTTGTTTCCTGTGCCACAAATTGCAATAAAAATTTTATAACTTTTCAAAAATAAGTGTCATTTGTTGACATTTCCATAGACTGAGGACTGGCTGAACAAGCTCATTAGTATAGTCAGATATGCTGCACATACAAATGCCACCTCCTACCCACTTTACTGTCATACTCAAATGACACAAGACCCAACAGTTACTTTAGAGGAAATGAATCCATAGTTACTGCAAATTCTACAAAATGTTTATTGAAAAGAAAGACAGGGCTATAAGAACATTGTACAATCAGAGGGGGGGGGATGGGCTCCTTTTTCTCTTCTTTCACAGTTAGTCTCACATGCAGAGGTAGATTCTGACATTACCTGAGAGTCAATCTGGGGCAACACCAAACAGAGGCGTGATTAGACCTGTCCCATACTGAAAAAAATAATGCGCACACCACCTGACCCTGTACATGTTCACATCAGTTTTGGTTTTAAATCCACACAATCTGAGATTAAACAAAAGAAGAAATGTAGAAAGTCCAGAAGAAGTTGGATCAAATAAATCAGACCGCAGGGCAACGTCTCGGAGAACATACCTAGTTACACACAGATCATCCAGCAGGCAGGCAGTCTACATATTAATGAAAATTATTTGTCAGTCCACCCCTGTGATTCCCACCGACTTTACAATATACGGAGTTCCAAAAGTACAGCCACTTCAAGAGCAGATGCTTGGAGCTACAGGTTAAACAGTGCTGTGGGAATCGGGTCCTTCACCAGAGTAACAAGCACTCTTCTTGCCAAAACGTGCTGCACTTGGATCAGTCTTCGTTATACCCTTGCACACAAATAAAAGAATAAGGATGAAGATAAAGCAATTATAGCTGGTTAGATGTCTGCGTCGAGAATGACACGCTTTCATATTAAAGATCGTTTGGGCCCGCTGCAGAACACCACCTACATTATGTGCTGTTGCCGTGGGTAATGGAGAGAGCAGGGTTAAAGATTTGATGCAAGTGTGTGGTGGAATCTGATTTGAGGGGTTTTTATTCTTTACACCCCAACTCTGACTTGGCGCTTCTCTGTAAGCCTGCTGAGCTGACCATATGAAAATCAAATGGTCCATTAAAAGAAACTGAGATGCAGATTTAAATAAACTTGTTGCATATGTACTGAGCTTTCAGCCCTTTACATCATTTTAGCTGACGGTTGGTGATGGTGGGATTATTTCAGATTTAAATGTGTTCTAGGGACACAAAACAACAATGGGAGGTAATACTCAGATTATGAGATTCAGTCCTGGTTGACCTGAGTTTTAATAATGCATATCCCACAGTGCCGTTCAAAATGACACGTGGCTCGATGACTGGGCGCAGCAAACACCCCTCGAGTGTCAACTACAACAGAGGAGCAACTTGTGTATCTGGAATAAGCGCGGGCTCAGAGGCTTCATCACATAGTACTGCCACACTCACATCAACTTACACATGACATGAAATGCACCCTTGCACTGGGTTTAGTCTTCTGCATGCTGTCCAGAATCATTTCCTGTTAGCCCCTTGTGTTCAGATTGACATGTTAAACGTTGGCGTATTAGGGTCACTGTCAGGAAAACAAGAACAAAAATAACAATATATAATAAATGACTTATTACTTTCTCCCATGAAAAAACAAATTACTGAAATGTGACTGTTTTTGGTCAAAATTTCAACTTTATTCTCAAAACATTATGGCCCCTTTCTCAAAATATTTCAAATTCCCCACCACCACCACGACCGTGGCCCTAATACCCTGTAGAATTTGAAAGTGAGGAAATGACAGAATACAGATCCATTGAATGGCTGTTGGAAAAATTGCCACCCATAAATAGCAAATATAATGGCATCCTTTCTTGTGGTGATCTGGTAGAGCTATAATTTACCAAACACTGCTGTTCAGACGAGGAAAGATCAACTCTGAAGCTGCTAACTTCCTGTACAAGGCGGCTAATTCTAAAGATGGTTTTGGTCATTGTATAAATGTTTTACGTTAAATTAGCAACGAAGCTAGCCAGTAGGGCTGTCACTATTTCCAAAAATGAAGTTCAAACAAACACATGATTTGTTAAATGTATCTGAGTGAAATTCACAGACTGATTCTGAACTATGTTACAGAATCATCTGCTTGGCCTCCTCTACCTCACGTGACCGTCAGCCTGACTTTTATCCACAATTTCGCCATCTTCGCTGTTGAATCTAAAATGCTTCGACACATTGCGTCTCAGGTGGTTTGGTGTCATGATTATGTTTTCAGCCACTAGTTTTCTCTATTTCCATTTGCAAAGCAAACGATAGCCTATTTTACTGACGGAGCCGGCCTGGGCCAGCTTCAGAACTCAGCAAAGTGGCCAGCTTGGTGGGCCATCGTGGCTCGACAGGCACAGTAGCTTACCAACTGTCCCACAAGTTCTCAGCACTTACTTCACGTCATGCAGATTCATTTTGCTGAGTGATCTGATCGAGGAAGATTTATTATTACTTCCTATTGTTTTTATCACAACATGGATATGTTTGCACTTGTTTTACTCTACGTCCCGTTTCCTCTTCCAGCTTTTCTGATCACATTTCAGGCTGTACGGCTACATTCATAAAAAGTGACCTATGACAATATGCAACTGATATCAGCACTTTTGAATTTAATCAAACTAGGATTTCCAATGAGACATGACACTACAGGGAGAGACCATGTGAAGAGAGAAATAAAAAAAGGCCAATTTGACTTTCAGTCTGACTGCATGGATATTCCCTATGAAAATACAGTTGTGGTAGAAAACAGGGAGTACGAAGCGCTCGCCACAAAGCCAATTATTACAACCAATGTAAAGGTAGAATACAATCCTTGATACTATCATTTTATTTTTACTATCGCACAAAAAAAGATATGGGTTCAGTTTCCATGTAGAGACCTGGAGAGGCAAGTCTAGAATTAAAAAAGAAATGAAATCTATCTCCATTAAAGATCATTTTTCCGGATAGTTATGAACTAGGCCGGAGGGTGTGGAGCCCTGTCCCACCCGTCTCACCTACACAGGCCGTGTAGGCTCGCTCAGTCCTGCGCTGTGGCTGCTGTTTCTGCAGGCTGGCTGGTCTCCGTAGCAGTAGTGCTTGTGTCAGTAGCAGCCAGTGTGGGGTCCATTTCAGGTGGTCTGGGAGCTTGGTGGATGCCCTCCGTCTCCAGCCTGATGCACCGTGCCAAGCCCTCCACCTCCTCCTCCTCCTCTTCCTCCTCCTCCTCTTCCCCAGCTGAAGGCTCCTGTGGCTGGGCTTCAGCAGGCGCTGTGGTCTCTTTGTCTCCCTGCTCCTGGAGGTGGCTGAGCCGGTTATTGAGGTCATTCCTCTCCTTCTGCAGGGCTCTGCACAGCCTCTCCAGCAGCTCCAGCTTCCCCTGCAAGGCCTTGAAGTGTCCGTCACGCAGAGTTTTCTACAAAAACACAAAGTTCATTTTTCACCTTAAGCCCTGGATATACTTGCTTTTTAACAACGCGTAGTGTAGACGGGCGTCGGCCACGCAAACGGCTTTGTTCACATACTTGCCTGTGTACTTTGCGTGTACCTGGAGGATTAAACCTGAATCCACTAGGGGGCAGACCAGGATCGGGTCATCCCTCGCCAACACCGGATTATCTTCTTCCGACACCAAACACAGCCACACTCGAGCAGGTTATGATTTTAATGAGACGTCATAACGATCTCGGGAATTGCGGACTAGCTCCAGGAGTGTTATTGTAAAAATCCTTTTTTAAGTCTGCTGCTGACCTTCTTCTTCTTTTGAGTTTAATGGCGGTTGGCAACCAACTGCATATCGCCACCACCTGAGCTGGTGTGTGGAACAGGAGATTGCTGCTGACCTGCCGGTCAGAAAGACATACTGCCCCCACATTCATGTGTGGAACTTCATCTCGGACACGTAGCGTTAATTCCTGGGAACGTGCACAACCTACGCTCCACAGGAACGCAGGATACGCGTGGCAGCCATCTTGCGTACTTGAATGCGTAGTTAACAGCAAGTATGTCCAGGGCTTTAGAAATCGCCTTTAAGAAGAAGTAGTACATGGACATTAAGAACACATCTGTCAGAGCTTTAAATCACATCCCTGTTGAGACTGACAGCTGTGGAAAAAGCTTGAAGTGGACCTTGGGTGACGCTTATCTTGTCAAATTGTTTCATGGTGTTGTTGGCATTTAGGAAATCAAAGGGAACAGACCAGAATTGAATTCCCCTTTCTAGACAAAAAGGAAACTTTGACAGAGAGTATAACAACAACAAATTAAAATCAGGCCTGCCAGCCTCACTT